AAAAAAAAAAAGTATGAGGCATCACTGTTTACATGATGTAAAAAGAGCTAAAAAAGAGCGATATAAACTACATTCATAAAAGTGCATCTCCAAACAGACAAAGGAATGCTTTGGCTTCTTCCTGTGCCCAATGCTGGGCCGGGGTGGGGGGGGGGCTGCGAAACACGAGTCCAAGCTGGCACCCCGTTGTTCTCTGTCGCTGGACAGCTGTTTAATTCCATTTACTGCAGGCTGGAATACAGGTGGGATACACAGGGTAAGCACATCTCAGCATAGGGAAGAGCCATCAGTCCCTGGGGGCTCTTTGCTCTGCTCTGGAACAGATGAGGTAAAAAAGCCGCGGCGGGTCCTGAGGATCGAGTTGCTTTGAAAGGTTTAAAAAGTGACACCGTTTCCTCATGCCCTGTCCTCTCCCAGAACACAGCCTGGTGGGATAACAAGGAAAAAAATCACGGGAGGAGGTCTCAAGGATGAGAAAGAGAGAGAGAGAGAGGAACCCCCGCAGGCGTCCCCATCGCTGCAGGGTGGCGAGTCAAGATCCCAAACTTTGGTATATTCAGGTGCTGGAAAAACACTTCAGACTCTTAAACCCTTTCAGGGTTTTTGGTTGCTTGGGGTTTTTAGGGTTCTTTTTTTTTTTCCTTTTTTCTTTTTTTTTTTAATTCAACACAGTGTTTGTCGTGTGTTCAAGGAGTTTGGTTTCATTAAAAGTTTGCCTTATCCTGCCATCAGCATTCACTTAAAAACTTAATTTTTGCTGCATTATGAAGCAATTTTCAAGTTTTTATGGGGGAGAGGAGTGGAGGTGTGTGGAGCCTTTATATGGTTCCCAATACAAGAGCAGAACACCTTTACTGTTGCCTTATAAAGCAACATTTTAGCTAATTAACATTCGCTTTTCTTAGTTGCATTTCTCAGAGGTAACTTATAATTACTCCACGAATCCTCAGCACTTAAAAACTGATGGTCTTTTATGAGTGAAACACGGATTATTGGTGCCCAAACCAACTGAGAGAGGGTCTGAGGGCATCAGGAACTCACTGCTCAGACTTGTGGTACCTCTCAAAAGCCAAATCACTTGGCTGTGTTTTGCTGGCACCTCTGTGGGGATCTCCAGGTAATTTGAGATTATTTGCTACCATTTCAAATGTTCTCTCTGGTTCCTTGTTTTGACTTAACTCCTAAAAAGCTTATTTAAATTGGGCATTTTATGGAAGTCTTAAATAACCACTTGCATACCTATAAAACAAACCACACCAAAGGGCTGAGTTCGATCCCAACTTCCCGTGCACAAAAAACACCCACGAGTGTCCAGCTAATTTACCCACCAAAAAAACTCCATTTTCCATTAGCCAGGTGCTCAAAGAAAGGCTGAAGGAAATTCCTGGGCACCAGAGGGACTATCTTTGGTTTAAAGGATGGCACGACGTTACCAGCCAGAAAGAGAGATGGATGCAGCAGGAAACTCTTCTGCACAACTCCCTCCCCAGAGGGGTTTTGTTTGGACCCAGCAGCCCCAGGGAGAGAAGCAGGAGCACAGATTTGCTGGCCATGAGGACACAAACTGACACTGCCTCAATGCTGGGGTAGATCAAGCCTTGGAAATGGAGCTCTGGATTTTCCAGCATCAGCGGGAGAGTCCTTCCCTCAGGCCCCGGAGCGATTGCACTCTGCTGAAACTCTTCTGATTATCCTGACATTTGGCTAGAAAGACCTCCCTCACCCCCCCACCCCAAAAATCCATGGGCTCATTATAAAATAACACTATTCACATACTTCTGAATCAATATTTTCTGTGAACACCTTCAGATGCTGAATACTTAAGAAGAAAAATATATCATACTATAGCGAGCTCGTGCTCCATGACACGTGGCTTTGGGCTGGATCCAGGGACTGGAGATGCCTCTGGAGCCCCTGGCTGGAAAGCAGGGACCCACACAGACAAGAGCTGGTCTGGAGAGGCTGTTGCAATGTTTCTGTTCTGCAGAGTGGAGCTCTCCCAGTTCCCACCTGGGTTCAGATTTCTTCCCGTTCCCGTTCCCTGCAGAAAACACGCAGCCAGCTGCAAGGTCACATCCAGGTATCTCAGGGCCAAAAAAAAACACCCCAGCCGTCGGCAGGATGAACATCAGTCCAGCAAATTAAGGAATCAGGCACGAGAGCAGCCCCCCAAGTTCCTTGGCATGACTTCCCCAAAGGACTAGGCCAGCTGAGTCGGCGTTCCCAAGATGCAGCACCACGACGGGCGGTTGCAACGAGACCGGACGGGGCACGGAGAGAGCGAGGGAGGTAATTCAGTACTGGAGCTGCGCAAACTGGTGTCTGAGCAGCTCTTCAGCAGAGGGTCTGTGCCTGGCTTCCACAAAGATCTGCTTTAGGAAGTCCCTGCAGTGTTCTGATATGTGGGAGGGCAGCTGGGGGTTGGTGGGTTGGGTGGCGATTTTGAAGATGGCGGCCATGGCTTCGTACTCGGCCCAGGGGGGCTTCTCCGTCAGCATTTCCACCACGGTGCAGCCCAGGCTCCTGGGAAAGCAGGCAGGACAAACACAAGTGAGGATTGACAGCGTTCAGGGAGAGCTCCCCAAGCAGCCAACAGCGAGGTGCAGCTCTGGGAAGTGCCATCTGTCCTGCTCCCCTCTGCTCAAACTCTCCTCTCAGCAAACATTTGTGTTAACGCATGAGGTGTCCCTGAAGGCACCATCTGACCTCAGTGTCCTTCAGGTGCTGCTGCTACTGCTGGAACTCAAAGGCACTTAGAGAATCAGAGGATGCTTTGGGTTGGAAGGGACCTTAAAGCTCACCTTGTTCCACGGGCAGGGACACCCTCCACTAGATCGGGTTGCTCAGGTGCTCGACTTGCTGAGTTGCAAGGTTAGAAAACAGAAGTTTTTAACCAAGGTGCAGCGAATCAGAGCTCACTGACCCCACAAAGCCATCTCAGCAAAAAAGCCCTTCCTCAGTCACAACCTTGGAATGCCCACGTGGGGGGGAAAAAAAAAAAAACATCCTAATAATACCTCCACAAGAAACCAAGCATCAGTCAAAAAACAATTAAAGCTGTAACAGCTCCAAAGTGGGAAGGCTGTAAGTCAAATCCCAGTGGGACAGATGCATCATTACCTTAAAAGAAAAATTCCCTGTAAAGTTAATGGGGCTCTGCAGGCTCCTTCAAGGCAAGAACACCATTCTGGG